AGGTTTAGGGTTTAGGGTTTCGCGTGCGATACACAAACCCTGGCCGCTGAATCCAGGAAGCATGCTCGCACTGTTTCGCCATGCACGCGCTGAGACGCCGCGAAGGCCGTCAACTTGAACCCCACTCAGGGTTGTAGATTTGGGGTCCTAGGGGGATCTTATTCGGGTTTAAATCCGCAACACTAAACCCTCAACAGAGCTTCATAAGGCCGTTGGTAGTGCTCTGGGGCTTGGGGCTTGGGGTTCCAACGTAAAGGCCTTACTAATCAGAATAGGGTTGTCGGGTATGTAATACTACTATTCGAATGTAAGGAACCCTGATAGTGATTCCTGAACCCTTCTAAGTACCATGCAAACCCTATAAAGCCCTTATAGAACCCTTGTAAAAACTTATAAAAACCCTATAAAGTGGTCGATGTGGCCAGAAGCAGGGTCGTTGCAGGCTCACGGGCTGGGCAGCCGATGTGCAGCCCGGCATTCAAACGTCAGACCCTGAGACGTCAGGCGCTCTCGTGCACAGCCGCGGTTTAGGGATTCAAGGGGTTTAGGGCTTCAAGGGTTCAGGGTGAAGGGTTTAGGGTTTAGGGATAAGGGTTTCGGGTTTAGGGATAAGGGTTTCGGGTTTAGGGTTCAGCCATCGCTGGTTCAGTAGGACCCGGTGTCCGGTGCCTAAATCATCAACTTCGCAGGCTCAGACCTTACACATCAAGCGGAGGATCGCATTAGCTTTCTTACGCCAAACGTCTGGCTTTTTTCTCCAAATTGTGTTTGCAAATTTGTTTAGGGTTTAGGGTTTAGGGTGTCTACTCCTGCTTACTTGGATATAGATGTGTTGAACTGTCCGGCTTAGAGCGCTCATGGATCGTGCACGTCGTTCTATCTTGCCTCATGCACAGCTCTTCTCGTCTCGGGCCACTCTATGTGCAGGTGACAACTGCCAGCGCAGCTTCGGCGGCTGGGATGGAAAGGGTGAGACAGCTTAGTCTAAACCTGGCTGCGGGAACTAAACCGCAAACTAAACCCTCGGCCAACACCCCGTCAAAACCCCTAATCACCGCTGAACTCTAAAACCCCTAACATCGTCAAGCCCGGCACGTCTAGGGCCCACATTCGGAATCGCTTTCCGAAGTCTTCGCTCAGCCTTCGGGAACTCACGTCCAGCCCTTGGCCCATACGGGACTGGAAATTTGGGCTTTACGGATTTAAGGTTATGGGCGCCAGGTTGTAGGGTTCAGGGTTTACGGCTTGATGCACATCATTACATGCAGCAGCGATACTACAACTGCTGTCTTGAAGCTATACCTGCGGTCATTGGCAACGTGACTATGTCTAAATTAGCGAGCCAGTTAACGAGAAGTATTTAGTATCGATACTGTATTTGTACTACAGCTTGGCTGCCAGTGGTATGCTGAATCACATGCTTGTACTTGTCATTGCCACGAGTCAGTCTGCGAGATTGGGTTTGACAAACCCTATATAGATCCTGAACCCCGTACGTTTTAACGCCAAGCAGCAAACCCTGAACTCTAAGACCTAAGCCTAACCCTTACAACTACAGCAACCAGTATACAACAAGGTCATATAGGGGCCTTAATAATTGGAATAGGGTTTTCGGGCCCATTATACTATAATTAAAACAAGGAAACTCCAAAATAGTATTGGTAATTATTTAGGCCCCTACATTACAGCCATGCGATGTAGTTCGGGCTCACAACCGGAAGCCCGAACCCAAGGCGCAGGGCTTGCAGCTCGGGCCCCTACCTTCTTGAGCTTCTTGACAGCTGTTGCAGCTTCCTGTCGTGTTTGGGGTTTGGGGGTTTAGGATTTAGGATTTGGGGTTTGGGGTTTCGGATTTTAGGTTTAGGTTTTGGGGGTTTGTATTAAACCCTAAACCCCAAGTCTTGATTTAAGGCTATATAAGGGCCCTCTGAGGGCTTCGGCGGCTTTGGGCTTCGAGCTTCCCATAAGGCTTGCAGCTTTACCCCTGGAAGACCTGAGCCAATCATACAAAATCCCGAGACGGTTTAGGGTTAAGGGTTTAGGGCCAAAGCTTAAGCTCCTAATTTTTGTAAACAAAGCTAGCAGTAGCAGGAGTAGTCATAGTATGCGTCATCGTCCGGCTATCGTGCTGGCCATAGTGGCCGCAGTCGTCATCGCACTTGTGGAAGAAGAGTGGAAAGGTAGTGGTGGTAGTGGTACTGGCAGTGGTAGTGGTAGTGGTAGTGGCAGTGGTAGTGGCAGTATTAGTTGTTGTTGTTGTTGTAGCAGCAGCAGTAGTAGCAGCTGCAGCAGCAGTAGCAGCAGCAGCAGCAGTAGCAGCGGTAGCGTAGCAGCCGTCAGAAATATAATATGCGATAGTGATGCTGCAAGGAAAACTATAGAGGCAAGCCAGAGATTCACAATAGCAGTACTAACTAGACCAAAGCCAGGGCTTAGGGTGTAAGGGTCTAGGAAGATGGGGTTCTGGGTGTTCAGTTCCGGTGTTGGGGTTCTACAGCTTGCGGGGATCCCATAGTGTAAGGGTTCAGGGATCACCCTAAACCCTAAACCCTAAACCCTAAACCCTAAACCTCCATGCAATTCAGCCGAACGATGGACTGGTACCTCAGACCCGCGCGGACTGGCCCGACAAAACCCGAAGGGCTTGGGCTTGGGGTTTAGGGTTTAGGGTTTAGGGTTTGAGGTTTGGGGTTTAGAGTTTCAGGTTTCAGGTTTAGGGTTTAGGGTTTGAGGTTTGGGGTTTAGAGTTTCGGGTTTAGGGTTTAGGGTTTGAGGTTTGGGGTTTAGAGTTTCAGGTTTAGGGTTTAGGGTTTAGGGTTTGAGGTTTGGGGTTCAGAGTTTCAGGTTTAGGGTTTAGGGTTTGAGGTTTGGGGTTTAGAGTTTCAGGTTTAGGGTTTAGGGTTTAGGGTTCGAGGTTTGGGGTTTAGAGTTTCAGGTTTAGGGTTTAGGGTTTAGGGTTTGAGGTTTGGGGTTTAGAGTTTCAGGTTTAGGGTTTAGGGTTTAGGGTTTGAGGTTTAGGGTTTAGAGTTTCAGGTTTAGGGTTTAGGGTTTAGGGTTTGAGGTGTGGGGTTTAGAGTTTCGGGTTTAGGGTTTAGGGTTTGAGGTTTGGGGTTTAGAGTTTCAGGTTTAGGGTTTAGGGTTTAGGGTTTAAGCTTTAGGGTTAGGGTTTAAGGTTTAGGGGTTTGGGTTTGGCGGTTTGAGGGTTTAGGGGTGGGTTTAGGGGGGTTGAGGGGTTTAAGGTTAAGGGTTTAAGATGCCCAACGCTCAACCATCATTGGTCTAGACATGTTCCAGCACTTTCCGGCTACATTATCTGGGAGCCCAACCCCCAACTACCCAACTACCCAAACCCCCCAAACCCAAAAAAACCTAAACCCCTAAACCCAAAGCACTAAACGCCTACACCCAACATCTAAACCCCTAAACCCAAAGCCCTAAACGCCTAAACCCAAAATCCTCAAAAAATAACCCTACACCCTAAACCCTACACCCTAAACCCTAAACCCTAAACCGTACACCCTACACCCTAAACCCTAAACCCTACACCCTAAACCCTAAACCCTAAACTCTAAACCCTGAACCCCTAAACCC